GGGTGGGTGGGGGTCTCACGGCTCGCCACAGATTTGGGGGCTCAGCACGAGCTGCGGCAGCTGGAATTTGGGGGTCCCCTCGCCCTGATCGCAGCGGGACGAGATCCCCCCCGAGGCAGAGATTTGGGGGTCCCCGGGGCAGAGCTCGACGTCGGGAAAACGAATCCTGCCCGCCTTGGGGGGCTCCGGCGAGGCCCCCCCGGGGGTGAAGCCCACCCTGGGCACCCAGCGGCGGCGCCGGGGGTTCCCGTCCCGGGGGGCTCCTCCTTCCTCGGGGGCGGCTTTGGAGCCTCCCCTCCTCATCCTCGCCGAGGATCCTTCCCCTTTCCCAGAGGAACCCGCCCCGAATTTGGGGAATTTCACCCCGAAACGACGCCCGGGGGGTTCCGAGGTGCCGTCCAAACCCGGCGGGACCAATTCCAGAACCGGGACTTTGAGCAGCGGCGGCTCCGGAGTTTCGGGGCGCTCCGGTCCCGCTCCCGGTCCCGGTCCCGGTCCCGGCAGGGCGAACCCCACGGCGGGGATGGGGATCCGCGGTGGCCACGGCGGTACCGAAACCCCCCGAGATTTGGGCCTGGCCCGGAGGGTCCCGGGCGGTTCCGGAGCCGTCCAGCCCAGGATCAAACTCTCAGCGCTGCCCCCGCGTTTTGGGGGAGTTTTGGGGACCCCCCCGGGGCGGAGATCGGGGCTGGACCCCCCGAATTTCGCCGCTCCGATACCGAACCGCAGCGAGCGGAGCCGGGGCGAGCCCGGAGAGGCCCCGGTGCCGCCGATCCCGAACCGGGGACCGTCCTCGATGTCACCGAAAGGCGCCAGCGACAATTTGGGCACCTTGATCTTGGCCCCCGCGCCCAGGTCCAGCTCCACGCTGGGAATGGCGAGCCCGGGGGGCGAGGCCGGGGGGCTCCCGCCGCCCTCCCGGAGCTTGCCCAGGGCCCAGCTCAGGCGAGGGAGGCGGAATTTGGGGGCTTTGGGGGCGATTTCGACAAGCGGAGCCTCCAGCTCGCGGCTGAGCTTCCGTAGCCCCTCGGCGAACCTGGAGCCCACGTCTGGGCTAACGGCGGGGGGCTCCGGGCTAGTGATGCCCAGCTCCACGGCGGGTCTGGGGACATCGATGGGGACAGAGGGGACGCGGAGGGTGGGGAACCCCCCCCGGGCAGCCCCCTCCTCATCCCCTCCGGTAGCGGGGGTCGCGGTGGGAGCCTTGGCCGGGCGGATTTGGGGTGGGCCGAGCCCCAGGGCCCCTTTGGGAACGGCCACCTCCACGGCCGGGATGCGAGCCAAGGGCTCGCCCGGCAACTCCGGGGCTTTGGGGGGCTCCGGGAGGGGGGTCCGGGCTGCGGCCGCTTCCCGGACCGTGAGGCGGGGGCGAGGTGGCCGCGGGGGCTCGGGGGGCAGCGGGGTGGGCTCGGAGGGGGCTCCGAGGGGCTTGGGGAGCTTGGGGAGCTTGGGAAGGGCGAGTTCCACCGACACCGGGGCCAGCGGGGCGGCGGGAGCCGCGGGAGGGGCCGGCGGCTTCTTGGAGGCCGTGGGCACCGGGATGGTCTGGGGGGGAAAAGAGATGGGGCAGGGGTGTGGGGAGACCCGAAAAATCCCGCTGGGACCCCCAAAAAAACCCCAAACCCCATCCCAGATCCATAGGGACCCACAAAAAACCCAAACTCCATCCTGACACCCCACAGGGACCCCCAAAAAAAACCAAAACTCCATCCCGACACCCCACAGGGACCCCCAAAAAACCCAAAACTCCATCCCGACACCCCACAGGGACCCCCAAAAAACCCAAAACTCCATCCCGACACCCCACAGGGACCCCAAAAACCCACGAAACTCCATCCCAGATCCATAGGGACCCTCAAAACCCCACCCCACACCCACAGGGACCCCCCAAAAAAACCAAAACTCCATCCTGACACCCCACAGGGACCCCCAAAAAAACCAAAACTCCATCCCGACACCCCACAGGGACCCCCAAAAACCCACGAAACTCCATCCCAGATCCATAGGGACCCTCAAAACCCCACCCCACACCCACAGGGACCACCCCCCACCCATAGGGACCCCCCACCCATGGTGTCCTCCCCCGGTCCTCACCAGCCTGGCCACTCCGTCGCGCTGTCCCTCGGGGGTCGCGGTGGTCGCGGTGGCCCCGGGGCTCGCTCGCCGCACGTAAAGGGACACG